ATCCCAGGCAACTTGACATCATTGAGGGAATCATAAATTCTGAGAAATATCAAGGAATTCTTGAGAAGAATGTCAGGCCATCAGTTCGAAAACTCAAGCTGGGCACAAAGTGGATGTTTCAACAAGATAACGATCCTAAACATTCAAGTAAGTCCACTAAAGAATGGCTTAGGAAGAAGAGGTTCCATGTAGTGGAATGGCCAAGCCAAAGCCCTGACCTGAATCCTATTGAAATGCTGTGGCAGGACTTGAAGAGGGCTGCTCATGCAAGACATTCTTCAAACCTCACAGAGCTGGTGGAGTTTTATAAAGAGGAGTGGGAAAAATTCCTCCAGCTAGATGTCAGAGACCGATAATTGGTTATAGGAGACTGCTACTGCTACTACTATAGGAGAAGTTACTGCTGCTAAAGGAGGTGTCACAAGTTACTGACTGAAATTGACTGAACTGACTGACTGAAAATCATTTACTTTAAGACTATCCGGTGACTTGTTAAATATCACAGTCTAATAATCTATGAGTTCAAATCTCTTTTTATGTGTGGGAAGTCTTTATTTAGGATATTCATTCCATATATTCATTAGTTCAGGTTCATATAATATCTAAAAATTACCACCTCACAAACTTTCAAGCAAACTTTCAAGCATGACTGTATAAGTTCACAAACTTTCAAGCATGACTATATGTCATCTTGCTGTGCCCAGAAGATTAATTCCTCATATGTTTTAATTTTGCACCTTTAATGAGTCAAAATGAATTCTGCTGACAGCAGTGTAATGAGTTTCCCTATACGTGCAAAACCCAACAGAAAAGACTACGATTAACCAGCACATTACAAACTTCAGCAGTTGCATAAGCCTTGAGAGAATGATTTGCAAGGTACATGTACACCCTCACTGCACGATTCTTCTAGACACAATCTGCTAGTTTTGTGCAAAACCTAAGAGGGGTTGCACATAAACCAATTATGTAGTGTTCAGTTTCTTTTTTCTCATTCACTAGATACAGATCGCACCTTTTCTCTGAACAGTGGCTCAGGTTTCCTGTTGTCAACAGTTATGCGATACCTCCCCATGAACACATGAAATGAAATCAGATGAAAGCACATATTCTGTGACATTTCAAATATAGAACATTCTCTGTTTTATATCAAACTCACCATCAAGTAGGCATGGTTTTGTAGTATTGAGGTCAACTAAAATTAGAAAATAAAACACCTGCAGTGCTGTAAAATACTGAAATTTCAGTGAAAGTTACCATCAGTTTTGAAAGCACGTACTGTAAAATGATCAGCAAAACTAGCTAGTTTTTAAGTATCTTGTAGCTGTACCATTACTGCATGTTTGCAATTAAGAAATGCATCCTCTTATGTTTTTCATTGTGTTAACTTTACAAGCACTTTATATTTTTGAAAAAGCATAAACAGTATAGTTTAATCTCACAGACCTCAATTAGTGCTAGTGCTAAAAGACCTATATAACTTACTCAAATTCCTCGTGATGGTCAATAGTTAATACACAGTAACAGCCTGGAAGTAAAAGGTTTGCAAATGCTGTCCAAAGTAAGAAAAAAGGATTTTGATTTTTTACCAATGTCGGTGGCAAGCTGTTTGGCTGAGTGAGGGGTGAGTTCAGGAATCTGGAGAATGGCATCACAGTAGGTCTGCATCGTTGCTCTGGCAATCGAACCCAGCCAATAGTCTGCGATGTTATCCAGCTCGGGCAAGTCATCAGCTACTCAGAGTAGACAGGAATGACTTAGTTTACTGAGACACCTAAGCAGTTTACACAGATACCTGGATACTTTTTATTATGTTCTCATTTATACATTTGAGTTGTTAATGCAAATCCTTCCAGACAGCTCTTATCTGAAGGTACTGTATGCTACAGTTTAGTTATGGTCACCTGATCCTTTAAAATTCATGTTTATTTTTCTCTTGAGGCCAGTCACACTAAAAATCAGCTCAAAACACCATTAAATCTCCAGCAGCCTTATCAACATACATCTCACAACTGGCAACCCACTGAAGCTAAAAAGGTGTGAGCCCGGTCAGTACCTGGATGGGAGACCTGGGAAAAACTAAGGTCGCTGCTGGAAGTGGGGGGCACTCACCCTGCAGTCTGAGTGGGTCCTAATGCCCCAGTATAGTGATGGTAACACTATACTGTAAAAAGGCACCATCCTTCAGATGAGACATAAAATCGAAGTCCTGACTCTCTGTGGTCATTAAAAATCCCAGGGTGTTTCTCAAAAAGAGTAGGGGTGTTACCCCGGTATCCTGGCCAAATTTCCCATTGGCCTTAACCATTCATGGCCTCCTATTAGGGCGGAGCAGTGGCTCTGTGGCTAAGGATATGCGCCTGTGACTGGAAGGTTGCCGGTTCAAATCCCGCGGCCAGCAGAGGAATCCTACTCCGTTGGGCCCCTGAGCAAGGCCCTTAACCATAACTGCTCCAGGGGCACTGTACAATGGCAGACCTGCGCTCTGACCCCAAGCTTCTCCCTGTCTGTGTGTCTGTGTCTCCATGGAGAAAAGCTGGGGTATGCAAAAAGACAAATTCCTAATGCAAGAAATTGTATAGGGCTAATAAAGAAACAACATTAACATTAACCTATTAATCCATGAAAATCCTGAAAAGCTCTTTACGTGGAGTGTCTAGAAAAGCACTACATAAGTGTAAGCAGTGGCTTCCCTGGCTGGGGAATTAAATTAAATTAGCACAGGACACTGACAACTTCACAGAATTATCAGCACCATGCAATAACCAGCTGAGCCACTCAGCTCCCTTCTAAACTGAAGGGTTTAGAAGGTTGCATAGTTTAACCAAACTATGCAAGATCTGATAGGGTGGGGCTGGGTGGTTTGGTGTTTAAGAACTAGAAGGAAGCTTGGAGGCTCACTGATCCTCAGGGTACAGAGGACCAAAGTGGGGGCTGATGACCCCGGCAGCCCACCGTCCATCGCGCTGAGCTCACAGGGCTGAAGGCATTACCTTGCTCAGGGGGGAAGGGCAGCTTCCCTGCGTGCAGCGCGAGCTCCAGAGCCGGGTCCTCCTGCGTGACAAAGGGCTCCAGATGCAGTGGGAGTGACATGATGTACTGGCCAATCTGTGGAACAAAGGCACACCAGCGGGTTTCAGTCCTGAAGGATATATCTCGCCATGTGTTCAACCCTACAGACTCTACCTTCAACCTCTTCTGCATATCTAATGCAGCCCTGGCCCTAGAAAGTCACAATCCAGCAGGGTCTAGAGGATACCCTTGAGTAATCAATTTCCAAATAATGGGAACAACTTATTTTTAACTACAGGTACGTAGGCAGGTGATTCATGCAATCAAGTCATTAAAGAAACAAAATGTACATTCCTGAAATAATCCAACCAAATTAACAGTCTAAAATGATCAATAACTGTGCCAAGGTTTTACAAAATGATGATTTAGAGATGACCAGCTCAAATGTGGCTATCCAGGGTTGGCCACCCCACATATATCCTGACAGGATGTGCTGTAAGACAATATTGACTCAAGCTCCAGAACTCGAGCCAGCTCTGCTTAATATTTTAAACACTGCCATCTGGTGGATTACAGCATTTACATGTGGCTTGCTTCCCATGTTACAGACAAAAAAAAAGTGTTTTTTAAAGGGCACCCCTGTTACTGCTAATACTACAAATCTGAACAAAAACCTACATATTAACACTGAATCCTCTTTTTGTCTGAAAATCAATAGAAGTAATAAGTAGTAATTCAGGAGACACTCTAACCCGGAGAGATTTACAGACACTACAGGTGGAGCTATGCCTCAAGAACTCCTGCTGCAGATGTATATACAGTATTCACTTGAATTTGATACATTGGCTATATTCAAAAGGATACCATATCCATACAGCATACAACATTGCTGTTTTTTAAAGAACTTCTTAAAACACAGAGCAATTCTTTTTGAATTATGAGCTACCTACTGTCACGGTATAACTTATTTTAACCAACAGAGATAAATGACTGTTTCATGTCAATTCATCAAGCAAGAACAAAAGATTAGGAACCAAGAGTGTACGACACATTCCTGTTCCTTGGCTGTGCGTTTTCTCTGTCCCAATCCTAATGTCCACCTTGGGGAAGACCTGAACAAGCCCCAGTGTGAGAAAGCACTGTTGCAAACGCTGGCACGCTTACATTAGTGATGTACTCCAGAGGGGACAGGCTGAACGTCGGCAGGTCTTCTGTGAGCGTCTCGCCTGTGCCACTAGAGCTCCAGCTCTGTTGACAAGGAAAAAAAAGTAGCCAGGATGTGATGAACTCGGATGGGCTGTCCAATTGACAATCATGAAGAATGAGCGTCATATAGCGGTTGGTTTTGATACAAATACAAATAGGACTATGTAGTGTTTACCACATATGACACACCAGTGGGAATTGTTAGGATATACCAATACCAGCATTTCCACCAATGATGTGACCTGTGCTGTGTCTGGTCATAGTGTAGAGCACTAGCTTGCCGATGTCCCATCTGCTTGTCTATCATATGTATTTGTTCCTCTGTGAACGGTTTTCACCATTGAGGGGTCAGAATAGCCTTATTTTATGAGCAACATACAGCAAATTGCTGACCATAGGAGATATTAGGTTCTCAAAGGGCCGGTGTGCCAATCATTCGCACATGGTATTCGCGTAGCTCTTATGGAAATAAATGGGTTGAGCTCAAAGAAATCGAATTAATTCCCGAGAACGCTGCTGTTCAAGACAACAGAAATGTTCTCTTACCTCCATCCTGTGGACGAGGGAGAGCTGGTGTTTGATCTGGAGGAAGACGGCGTCAAAGGCCAGCTGGTGGGCCTGCTGGTTGAGCCGGGCAAGAGCCGCGCGGGGCTCTGCCAGCAGGCTGGAGTTACCGGTGCCCTTCTCCTGCAACAGCCGAGGAAACACCTTCATGAGCAGCTGCGACAGCAAGGCACAGAGAGCCACCCGCAAAGGACAGGAATGGACCAAAACCTTGTCAGGGGAGCTACTATAGTTCAGTTATATCTGTGGTGCAGGGCAAAATCTGACTCTACGAAGAACCACGAAGTACAGTAAATGTTTGAACTAGCAACCCAGTAATTAAATGATTATTCTGTGTGTTGGGGTCATGAACTATTAAAAACAACTAATGAACCAACCATTACGAATGCCATGGCTGGGAAACAATGGGGTCTCTTACCTTTAGGTTATAGAGCATCTCCATAAGGCTGGCATGCTCTGCCGCACTGCCCTTCAGTAAGTAATTATACTCTTGCCACGGGTTCCTGGTGGGGCTCTTCCTGTCTGCAGAGCTGGCCTCCTGTATTCCAGCAAGAGTGCGGGGACTGTAGGAGTCAGACAAGTGCTTCCCTGCAGTGGACAAGATCCTGCACGCACACAGAGCCTCAATACACAGTAGCAGCCATAGTTCGCTCATTCAAAGCCAGTGTGTTACAAAAGTCCTTCAGAACATTTGAATGAATGGAGTTGAAAAGACTAGATAGACAAGATCTGACACATTTCATATGTGTTGAGGGAAACCAGAGAAAACACAGTATTTTTTAAACAATCACTGGCATTTTTCTATGCAGAACAAAAACTATTCTGAGGCAGAACAAAATGAGTCAACCGGTGTCATGAAAAAGCAGATAAGAAGAATTCATTTACATACAAAAAGAATTTGAATGTTAAACTGCTACTCACCTGTTTGCTAACTGCTGCTCGTAAGCCCCACATTGTCTCTGTAATTCACCGCATGTTGCAATGATTCTGGAATTCAAGAGAAGGTAATATAAGAACAAGCAGGCCTGTTATTTCCTTAACATAAGGTAAGGTTTGTTACTGTTAGCAGTAGAGGAAGCAGAAACTGAAATTCTTGCAAATGGTCTTACAACATTTTCCTTTTGAAGTGGTCTGCCTCAAAATTAATGACAAGTTTTATCTAACTGGTACAATAATTCATTGATAATTACAGACCATGTACACTATTACAATGAGAAAACCAGTATTTGTTTGCCAACTGGTCCACAATGTGCACGCTGCAACATTCATATACTAAGAATAAACATAAACACAGTACATCAACAGAGTGTTACTTTAAGCCTCAAAACACAATGCATATCTGTGAATGGAAACCAAAGAGCTGGTCAATGCTTGCATTTCAGCTCTTAACTAGACATACCTGACTGAGTTCTGAAAAGCCGTCCAGTCTTCCCGAAACAGAGAAGTATTTGGTATATCTTCCAGTTTGCACTTCTTTCTAATAGACTGCAGCGTAGTAGAAAAATCAGAAACATATCTGGAAGAGGAGAATATTGTCATGTTAATACAAATATAATACAAATATTGCAGCACTATTGGATCCAGTTTTCAGGGAGGAATTAACTGAATCTGTCAGTTTTCACCCACTTCAAATTCCAGTACTCATTTTCGCTGAATTTACAGAATCGCTCACTTCCTAATTGAACATAACATAGTATCTCTTTTGTAAGCAAGTGACAAATGTGTATTGGGCACTAGATAAAGCCAGTTTACAGGACAATCTAGTCTAAACCAAGCCTCTAATTTTCACGCCTGGAAATTAAAAAGGCAGTGAGAGGATTAAACGTATTATACATTCCTTCTATTTTCTGAATTTCCATTTGTCACCTTACACTTTGGAAGATGGCAAACGTAGCTCCAATACCGTACTGCATTCTCTGCAAGAATCCATGCCCCGTTCATATATATTTACAACAAAAGGGTAATAGGAAATCGAGCTTGCCAAAGCTGCATGCATAAAAGAATTTCCAGGTAAAGCTCTTCCTAGAATCTGTGCAACCATTACAGCTGCCACTTTCACTACTAGAGCTGCTTTCTGTACTTCGTGGTATTAAATATACTAAAACTATACTAAATGCCAACCATTTCTGCGGTAATACAAACGTCACAAGGATAATTCTGTGAAAGGGCTCTGTATAGTGGAGTCCCACCATACCCGCCAGTCTCTTACTTGGTAAAAAGAGCCCTCAAGGCCCGAAGCAGCCCGCATACGCCTAAGCCGTCAGTTAACTTGATGCAGCGGTCCACAGACGCATTGGCCAAGCCAAACAGCTTGTTTACAGAGTGACTCAGTTCCTGCACACAATCTATCACCTCCCCACGCTCCTGAGCAGAGGAAGAAGATGGAAATCAGTCAGTTCACCTAGAACCACATAAAGGAATAACTGTTGCCAAAATTCAGTATAAAAAAGTAAAATACAGCTTCACATGGGCAAATATAGGCATTGAAGGGCAAGTATTATGCAAAGGCCAAAAAGGTACAGTTTTGCATTTTCATTTCCCAGTCCTATTGCAGACAAGATGTACACAGAGCTGTAGTGTTTACACCAGAGGCCTGACCATGCAAATCTGTTCAGGGTCATGATATGTATTTGTATTCTGCATCCAAAACAACTTAACTCTTAATCTATAATCCTGTCTATAAATCAGAAACATCGACCTTCCAAGAAAAATACTTGCAGTGAACTGAAACAGACTAGATTCCTGCTTGTATGCTACATTCTAACATGTTAAATTCAAATCATCATCAGAAAGGACTTACCAGGGGCACAGCACTAATCTGAATGAGCAGGTTGGACTCTTCCAGCTCACCGTACTGCAGCTGGTATTGCTTGTATGGCCCATACACTGCTGTGACCAGCTCACTCACTTTCACCAAGTTCAGGTCACCTGTGGTGGCAAAAACAGCAGTTCACAATTTAGACTGAAAACCTTTGCTTATTTCAAGAGACATCGTCTTACCTTGTAAAGCACAGGTTTAGACAACAAAGATAAATATTCTTATAAAGACACAAAGTTGAGAGTGAATGGGAATGTTTTCTGTGTGACAAACACTTCTTAATCATGTGATTGCTGGACCTCACACATTATGTGAGCAGGTAAGTACCACTTATACCTCTTCACATCATAAAGTATCCTTTACCTGAATAAACATCAGCCTGAATTGCCCCAAATGCACAGAATTCATTGCTCTCTACCCAGGATATACAGTATATGTGAACAAAGGTTCTGGGATTTGGGATTTCACTTAAATCACAGTTCTATAAAGTATAAACAGAATATCTTGCAATAAGAATTCAGATCACTTGCTTTTATTATATTGTATTCCAGAGCTTTTGTTTTGTCTAGTTAGAAGACTGTAGCCAACGGTCATCTGAAAACGTCTACTTGACTGGCACAAGAAAGTTCAGGATCTTGTAGGAATACTCCCAGAAAATTTCCCAAGCAAAAGAGCAACAGAAATCTTGGGATACACAAAAGTATTTTTGTATTTTCTTTCTTAAGAATTTCTTTCTTAAAATCCGTAGTTATTTCTTCCTCTTTTCCCAAGTCGGAAACAGACTAAACATTATCCTGTCTAACTGCAAAACCAATGCAACCAGAGATGAAGACATTGCATATGTAAATTATATCTCTCTAACCAAGCTGCTTCTGAAACCTGCAATCCTGGAACTTCAACAGCTGAGGCTTAGTATCTACAAAAGAGTGGATTCAGAAGATTTGTGTCACATGTGCTGAGCTTGCTTGTGATTGATAGTTTAAGGAGGTCTCCAACCGACCCATCCCAAGCAAACTGGCAGCCCCAACTCTGTGTCACTGCTAGGCTGGAATTGCAACACTGACCTTGATGCAAATCTGAAATATTAAAATGTATTCTGGCACTTGGATTACGGTATCACATTTACCAAGGTGAGGCAACATGGCAGCTTCCAGCCCCTTTCCGAAATGCGCGGCCGTCTCATACAGTTCCAGCAGCACCTCCAGCTTCTCCTCTTGCCCTGTGCGCTCTATCGTTGTGCTGAGGCACACTGGGATTGAGGGTACCATGGCACCCAGGGTTTGTATCAGCAGAACTGTCACCACCTCGCTGGGATTCCTAAAAATCTGTTCGGAGCAAAGTAATTGATACTCTGA